GAAAGAAACTGTCAATGAGTCCTTGATTGATCAGTATTGCATGTCTCTATCTGTTTTCATGAGAGACCACTTTGAAGATATCAATATGTAATACAAGCATTGTTAATTTCCTACCACTTTGTAACTCTCTATTGTCTGTACTGTTCTTTTGCTATTTTGCAAAAGATTGTCTGTCCGTTAATGTTTTCCTCCTTTTATTTTTAAAATAAAAAAATAAATAAAATATTTATTAGTTGTGCTATATGTGTGTGTGTGCACACTCACATTCATGCAAATGTGCAGCCACACAAAGGCACATATGAATGCTTTTTATAACATGACCATAAGTTCTAGTCACTTTATCTGGGTAAAGATGTTGTCTCTTTCTCTCAGGCTGGAGCTTCAATCTACAGGAAGCTAGTATTAATAAATATAAGCTATGACTTAGGAAAACCAATGACATCCCCTTCCAGTCTCTCTCAATGCCTGCAAATTTGATAATAGGAGGGTTCTTTAGGCGAACTTTTCTCCTTTCATCAAAGAGCTAAACCACACCAGGCCCAGCAGTCAAAGGAGTTCAGAGGCTGACAAAGAATAGGTAGAGAGATTGCAGGTCCAGCTGTTGGCTCAGGCCAAAGAGGCAACCAACAGGAAAGCAACAACGTGCATGAGCATTCTAACAGGCTTGCACCAACTGTAGTACATAAAAGCTGTATTGCTGCTGTTCCAAGTCCAATCATGAAATCTTGATCCCCAACCTGACTAGAAACTTACAAAAAGAAAAGCTGGGGAATATAGTTGGTCTAGATTAGGGGACGTTTTCAAATAATCCTATGCCTGTTCCTTGTCAAATTGGTGGTTTTCTACATTCTTTATACCATATCAACACATACTTCAAAACATATCATTTCACCAAGAAATACTACATCTTGCCGATAATCACAATAATATATATCATTTTATCAATTGCCCATTCAATTTTTATGGAATTATTTTTATTATTATTTTATGGAATTGTTTGTGACCCATTTTTATTGAATCCTCTTTGTACATTCTGCATTAAATTCTTTATGTATTCTAAATTTTAAAAATACTTTATTCTTTTTTTTTGCT